TTTTTAATCGCACCGTATTTGGAAAGCGTGCGTAAAGCGTGCGTAAATTGTGCGTAAAACCCGTTTTTTCTCATCCAAATGATTTCCTTTGTCTTTACAGGTGAAAATTTGGTTTCAAAATAAACGRTCCAAATTTAAGAAGCTGATGAAGCAAGGCGGCAGCACAATTGACACCAATGTTTTGGCCACCGGCCGCGGACTTTCGAGCGGRTCCCCCTCTGTGGCGCCCGTGTGGACGTCGCCGACCACCGTGAAGGCTTCTGTGGGCACCACCGGCTCCTACATCCCCAGCTACACCTCGTGGTATCCGAGCACGCACCAAGAGTCTATGCAACAGTCGCAGCTCATGTGAAGAGTGACCGGATTGTCGGGACGACAAGGACCCTGCAGCCAGCTGTGTGCGCGCGCGGCTCAGCGTTGATGATGCTCGACAATAAAAAAAATAAAATAAATAAAATAAACGGAGACTGCTGTTGCCGCATCCCTGCGAGCTGACACACGGAGGCCTGCTCAGATAGTGGCATGAGGGGAAGCAGGGGGATAAGAAGGGAGAAGAGGTGTTCAATGTATCCAGGTCAACAAGTCCAGCGGAAATCAAAAAGGCAAAACGGATCCTTCTTTTGGATGTTGTTGATTCCTGTTTAGTTCTTTTAATTTGTGTGAAGAGTTTAGTTGCTGAGCTTGTTCTGTTTATAAGAAAACACGGGTTTGTTTACGCCAAAATGTCGGATCTTAAGGTGATGACGACCTAAAATCATTAAAGGCCAATCAGGCCACAGCAGTGAGTCTTTAACCAAATTATTGATCACAAATGATGCGCAGGCCGTCACACTTACAGCATCTCTAATTCCACCATAGTGAAGCCTCCGTGCAGCGCCACGTGTCCTTATGTTGTTTTTACGTGTTTGTTATTTAAGTTAAATTATTCGGACCTTTCTGTTAGTCTGTGTTCTGTWTGTGAGAACAACACTGTGTTGTTGATGCTGCACTAAAGCTTTTTTCTATGCCGTGCCCCCGGATGTTATGTGAAAAATATAAAAAGGCCAGACTATTCGCTGCTTTAGAGAAAAGAAAAATCCCGCGGATGAGCAGCTGACTTGTCACTGTGTTTTTGTACATAATTTCTGGATTTTGTTTTATTATTATTATTATTATTTTTGTGCTGTATACTGCTGTGAAACAGGGTTTTTAGGGTTTGTGTATCTACTCGTTCAAATGTGTTTTTAGTCACCATAGAAAATGATTTAGTTTTGTATTGATCACTTTAATTTATTTATCTGTTTCTGGAGTATATGTACATAAAAAAGTGCTAAGTTTCAAAAAGCAGTAAAATATGATTTAAATTATGCCAAGCCCGGTGTATGATTGAATCCACCCCCACCCATTTTTTTTCTTTTTCGCCCTTCTCTCCATCCTCATCGTTAATGTGAGCTGACACAAAGCATGTTGGCTGCAGCAGACACCATGTGAGGCTCCTCATGTTTAACAATCAGCCAGACATGGATTTGTGCTGCTTCTGATCAGTGCTTACAGATGTGCCCAAACTAGAAGCGAGAATATTTTTGTTCAACAAAAAATTTCATCTTCTCTTATCTATGCAATTGTCTTTGTTCTGCTAAATTAAAATGGAAAAATCATTTAATTCTAGGATTTTAATCCGAGTTTTCCTAAAAATATATAAATTCATGCATTTGATTGTCCCATTTTTTGGTCAAAATATCGAATACTTTGCGATTGTAGAACAGGAAGCAGGTGCTGCGAAAAGTCCAGATGTCAAGTGAGAGTGAGCATTTCCTAGGCCTATTTGTTCGATATAAAAAAAACACGATTAATTGAAGGGAGAAACCACAAAATGTGGTCTGTTGTCAAATTTATCTTGATCATGASGTAATTTAATTTTTGAATAAAAAAGGTGCTCCATTAAGAACGAAAGGATGACTTCCTGTTTACAAAATTTGCTGGATAATGATGAGCATTTTACGCGTCCTAACAAAGAAGCTCCGTGCGTAAAACGTGCGTAAAAACGCAACAAATGCGTTTTTTTTTTTTGTGAACTGATGTGACT